ATTTATAGACATTTGAGCTTTTGCTCCAGACGTTTGATTTTTGAGCAATAAAGGATTAGCTTTTAGAAAATCAATACAGAGATAGCTGATTTTCAAATCAGACATCTGATCTTTGAACTAGACGGCTAATTTCTCAGACGAGACGTTTGAAATCTGGGTTTTGGCAAATTTCTACAAAGTTTAACCAAAGATTTCATATGTCTTTCTCCTGTATTCCTAGGTTTATATTCTTATAGATTTTCAACATGAATTGATGTATCAATCACGCACAAAAATTATATTAAACATCATAGCTTTGTAAAAATAGAATTTTTACGATCTAGGCTTTTAAAATAAATTATTGAAACATCGTAAAAATATATCACATTCATGGAAAAAAAACTAGGAAGAATATCATCATCATAAATTAACATACAAAACATGCTTCGCTGATTTTCCGCAGGTTTCTAAAGTTCTAAGCTCAGATTCTCCTACATGCTTATTCTAAACATCGAAATACTAATAATAAGATGATCAAAAAATATTATCGTGAAGGATTAAAAATACATTTAATACAAAGATTTTAAACATACGAAAGGAATCAATGGAGAAAGATATCAAGTTGTTTTAGTCGAAAGTCGCCTTCATTATCGATTTCATTATAATTTTAATCGTTTACAACGAATTCAAATAACAAAAACAAAAGTTACAACTTTCTTGAAAATAAACACAAGAATCGTTTATCGGCTCTTGTTTGCGTGGGTTCTTCGCCGGTGTCGGGGTTTATCCGTGGACGACCGCGGATCGGATCCGGTTGTCGGAAAATTAACGGAGCTCCTACTTCACCAAGGAAGTATTTGCTTGAAGCTCTGAAATCGACCAAGCGAAATCAGTAGCTCTTCTCGAGATTAAGATTAAGCTAGGCCTAATCTCAAGGAACGGACGTACGGAGTTTCGGATCCTTCGAAAGACTTCTCCTTTATGCTGAAGTTCGTCGGGATCTCGTTGGTCTTCACTGAAATTTCGTGCTCCTTGACTCCTCAATCCAGCAGCACCTCGTCCTCTTGATAAAATTCCAGATCTGTAAAATGGAGGCCTTGGGCTGATATTTATAGGCATCGGGTGCGGGTATTTGGATGAGAATGAGTGATTTGGCCTTATCTTCTGTTAACAACAACCTAACCACGTTTGTGGATGATATCAAATCAGTTGGGAACCACTGGAACATATAAATCCTACGAAAACCGCTCTAAAACCGTCGAAAACGCGTTTCGGGCTCTGGACTACGTGACGGGCTCTGCTGACTCGCGGGGGGCGCGGGTCGGACAGATCCGACCCGCGCTGGCACTGGTCGGCCTGTGCCGTCCCGCGCTGGCACGGGTCTGTCGCCTCCGTCGAGCTCTTTCTCTTTTGGCGATTTTCTTTCCGGGACTTGTACTTTTCGCTATTTCATGTATTTGGTCGACTCGTTGACTTGTACGCTTCGTTGCGGGACTGACCGTCGAACGCGTCGGTCACTTGGGACTGCCTAACATACGCTTGATTATTGACATGTGTGCGTTGGTTGACGTGCGCATGTTGATTGATGCGCGCGTGTTGACCGACGCGCACGAGCTGATTGACGTGCACGTGTTGATCGACGCGCACGAACTGATTGATGCACACGTGTTGATCGACGCGCGCGAGCTGATTGACGCGCGCATGTTGACCGACGCACACGAGCTGATTGACGCGCGTGTGTTGATTGGCGTGCGCGTGTTGACCGACGCACGCGAGCTGATTGATGCGCGCGTGTTGACCGACGCGCGCGAGCTGATTGACGTGCGCATCGTGACCGACGCGCACGAGCTGATTGATGCGCGTGTGTTGACCAACGCGTGCGAGCTGATTGGCGCGCGCGTGTTGACCGACGCGCACGAGCTGATTGACGCGCGTGTTGACTGACGTGCGCGGTCTCATTGGGTAAGCCTTCTTGACTCGTCCACTCTTTGTTTTGAGTTTCGTGCAGGCTCTCATAGGAAATTTTAGACGCCTACACAACTTGGTACTTACCTGTAAATATTTCCACTGAAAAAGAAATCTCAATGCTAACGAACAGAGTGCAAAAGTTCTCTTCCATCTCCTTGCTTGGCTAGCCCATGTAGATGTCAGGGATCTAAAATTCTACTTTCTAGGGTTACTAATTATAAGCCTTTTATAATGATTTTTAGCTTAACGGGTTGACTAATGACTTGACCGCTTTTGACTTATATCGGGTTTAACCTTTTAACACATAAAACATTGTCAAAATTTCTATTTAGCTAACTAAAACTCAGAGATACCATTAAACTAATAGATAAAAGAATCTATCTAATCTCTCGTCATGAAAATCAATAACAAAACTACTTTCCCATCTTGACGAGATGGGGTGTTTCAAATTTTTCACTTAACCCCAATAAATTTGCATTATATGATATGATAAGAAAATCGTAATATCATTTTAAAATAACATGTTAATTATTAAATTTAAAACTCTAATTAAGTTCTAATTAATTTTAATCTATATCAACTGAAAATAGAGGGGGGAGAGAGTATGGGTGGATGGGGAAAGAGGGATGTATGTGCGAAATCGATAATTTTAGCTTGTATTTGCAAAAAAAATGTCACCATGGAAAAATTAAAGAGATGATATTTTAGTCATTTAATCTTGCCATGAGATCAAACTTAATGGTGATAAAATTTGAAGTTATTTAAAAAAACGAGCTTAAAATGACAATTTCAAAAGCTTCTCGATCGGATCTTAAGTGCAAAAGATCGAAGCTTACTAAGGGTTTAGGGGTTGTTTGGTTTGTTTACCAAAAATGCATGAAACGTATTTCATGACTTGTGAAAATTCATTTTAGAGATTTTGGGGATTAAATGGGTTTCATGAAAAAGCTGATGTGGCAGGCCTTTTTAAGACATCTTTTACATAAATTATTGGCTAAAATACTAGCTTGGTATTTTTTTTGTTGACCTCTTTTGACTCTTTATTACTCTGCCAACAATTTGGTAGTTTTTGTTAATCCTAATGGTCAAATTAGGCCCAAAACTTTATCGCTAACGAGAAAATTTTAAAATTAGTCCCTTAAGTCTTCACTATTTTGATATTAGTCCTTGAAATTATTAAAATATGAAAGTGGTTTACCATTTACCTTAATTACAGACACAAACCCATATCAAAACTTTTATCTTCTCTACTTTATCCTCTGACAAATTCCTTACCCATTTAACTCAATTACAAATCCAAACTCAATTTCATTTCTATATTTCATCCCCTTACAAAGTTGTCTACTGATTTAACTCAATTATAAATCCAAACATATTTTCAAACTCTCCTCTCTCCATTTCAAACCCAGATGTTTAAAATTGGTTTGTATTTGTAATTGAGTTAATGGTATAAGAGGTTCGGTAGGGGATGAAATGGAGAAGACGAGTGATTGAATTAAGTTTAGATTTGTAATTGAGTTAAATGAGTAATGAGTTACGTAAGGGAATGAAATGGAGAAGATAAAAGTTTAAAATGAGTTAACTACTTTCAAATTTTAATGATTTGGAGAACTAATTTCAAAATAGTGAAGATCCGAAGAATGAATTTCAAAATTTTCTCGTGGACAACTAAAATTTGAGCTTATTTGACCATCCAGATAAACAAAAGACACTAAACTATCGCCAAAGTAATAAAAAATATCAAAGTGTCGAAAGATGTCAATAAAAAAATACCAATTTGATATTTTAACCATAAATTATTATATCAATCACATATAAAAAGCTTAGTGGCCTAAAATCAAAAAAAAAAGAAAAAAGAAATATGATAAGGAAACCATTAAAAGTTGATTTCCATTTATTTCCTTAAAAAATATCATGAAATTGGTTTCCATCATCCAATAATATTGTGACAACTCATCCCATCTTATCTTTTTTTAGCGAGCTTTGTTATAGGGACCCAAAATATGAGACCAATAGGAGGGACAAGTGAGGCGTCCTCCTCCTATTGGATAATGAGTTGGCCATCATTAATGATGACCAGTTCATTATCCAATAGGAGGAGGACGCCTCACTTGTTCCCCCTATTGGTCCCATATTTTGGGTCCTTGAGGAATTTTTCCTTTTTAGCTTTAAAAAGTGAACCAAACATAATAAAAAAACATATTATAAAAAAGGGAAAAGTGAATCTAAGATGACACCCTAGGCTCCCACCTAAGGACACGGCCTAAAATCATATCATTTCCTCTTTTTTTTGTGATCCGCTCCGTTGAACTTGATCTACACGTTCTTAAACCCAAACACACCAATTTTAGGGTGAACCCGTTGTCTTTTGACCATTCGTTGAGCCGTGCAAAATATTCTATTAATTCGAAACCATTAAAATTACAGCGAGTGGATAAAGAGTCAAAACACGACGGGTTCATCCCAAAATTGATATGTTTAGGTTTAAGAACGTGTAGATCAAGTTTAACGGAGCGGATCGCAAAAAAAATTTAACAAATGATATGATTCTAGGCCGCGTCCTTAGGTGAGAGCTTAGAGTGTCACCTTAGATTCACTTTTCCCTATAAAAAAATAAGTTTCTCATAATTGATTTTTTTAACCAACCAAAGTGCAGACTCCTTTTTGGCTTGAGAATTCAAAAACTGACCTGACAATCATGGAAAGTAATGTCATGCTTTCACCGTGCCAACCCAACAGCCCCACGCGAAATTTTACCCTAGCTAAAAGTTTACTAAACAAATCTCCCGCAGTTAAAAATTTCAATTTTGGAACAGCAACTCGCACCTTTATCATCTTTATTTATTACCCCCCATGGCCATGCTTTTATCTCCCCCCGAGGTCTGACACCCTCCCACTTACTTAGCCCGGCCCATCTCCGCACATGCTCTCTCTCTCCCCCCCTCCCCTCCCAGTTCATTCGAATTCCGGCAGACTCGAACCAACGCCAGAGACAGACACACCTTCCTCGATCAACTCAGCTCCTTCCGTCGAACCCCACCGCGCTCGAGACAATGAATCCCTCCTCCCTCCTCTCCTCCTCCTCCCTCTCACTGACCCCTCACCGCCGAGCCACCAACCCTGCGCTCTACAACAAATGCCCGGAGGCAGTGTGGCCGGGGTATCCAGCCACAGCGGCCGGCGAAAGCCGCAATCGTCGCCACGCGAGGGTTCCGGCCTGCTCCCGGACCAGGCAGCTCGCTCCGGCTGGCCCGAAGGGTGGTCGGGTCGGGTGTGGGGCCGGCAGGGTGCAAGTTCGATCGGCCCGGGCGGGTGAACGCGTGCGACACCGGCGACTGCGGGGGGCCCCTGTACTGCAACGGCGTCGGGGGGACCCCACCGGCGACCCTGGCCGAGATCACTGCTGGGCAGGGCCCGAACCAGCAGGACTTCTACGACGTCAGCCTCGTTGATGGGTAATCGTTTTAAACTTTGGTAGTCCCAAGGTTTGTTTGTTTAGCGAGCACTTGAACCAAACAAAAAATAAAAGGATTTCGAAATCGAAATTATATTTTTTTTTATGGAACTTCGGTTTATTTTTGGGTTGTCAAGTTAAATTTTTTTTTTGAACCTTGGTTTATTTCCTGGGGGCGTAACTGTAAGGAATCAGAGGCGGAAAAGAGTGATTTTTGGGCTGTTTTTAAGTGAGCTGCGATTTTTTTTTTACACGCAAGAGCTTTATGTTTGTTAGGTTTTTTATTAGATCTCAAATCTCCATATTTATTTATGGATTAGGGTCCTCTCCACTTCAAAAAAAAAAAAAAAAAATGGATGGACCACGGTATAATCATAACTATTAATTATCTAGTTGGTGGAATTTTTTTTAAGTGCAAGTTAGGAATGATAGCAACTTCACACTACGAAGTAATTTCAAAAAAGTCTGAACTTTTAGAGTGAAATGTTCAAACCCTTCCCTATTGCTTCAAAATAAGCAAAAGGCCCAAGACCTTACTCATTGTTAATATAACACACACACACACCCGATTCCCTTTCAGATTCCTTTATTTTGATTTCTTTTTTCATCATGTTTAGTAACATATTTAGTTTCTAATTTTTATATCGGCACACCGTTCGATAGATCGACATGAACTATTTTCCGTGCGGTCGATTTTGTTGAATAAAATTCTAAGGGGCTGTTTGGTTCCATGTTTTTGAAAGAAAGGCTTTCTTGAAAGCCTGCCAAAAGTGTCAAAAGTGTCACTTTTTGGCAGGATTTCAGCCCAAATCGCCTCTAAAAAAGAAGATTCCAGCTGAAAGCCTGCCAAAAAGTGATACTTTTGGCACTTTTGACAGACTTTCAAGAAAGCCTTTCTCTCAAAAATAGGGAACCAAACAGCCCCTAAGTGGTCGATTTTGTTGAATAAAATTAAAAAATAGTTTTTTTTAATTTGTCCTATAATTTTTGGTTTCAGTTATTTCTGCCCTTGACAATTTTATCAAACAGGTACAACATCGGGATGTCGATGAGGCCTTTCAGAGGGAAGGGCAACTGCGGCAAAGCCGGGTGCGTCAGCGACCTGAACAGGTTTTGCCCGGCGGGGCTGGCCGTCAGGGACGGAGGAAAACGGGTGGTGGCGTGCAAGAGCGCGTGCTCGGCGTTTGGATCGCCGAGGTACTGCTGCACCGGGAGCTTCGGCAGCCCGCAGCAGTGCAAGCCCACCGCCTACTCCAAGATCTTCAAGTCTGCGTGCCCCAAAGCGTATTCGTACGCGTACGACGATCCTACAAGTATTCTTACCTGTAGCGGGGCGAGCTATCTCATCACTTTCTGCCCTCATCACTGATTAATGATATTTGGTTGGGTGTTATTAGCTAGTGAACCATGTGTCAGTTTGATCAGGGTGCTAGTCGCTGATACTTGAGATCTATAGCCAGAAGCAGAGGAGTATTTTATAAGCAGTTTGAGTTTGTTTTTCTCTCTCTTAGTGGACATTTATATTAAGATCGAATTTGTTTATGTGCGCACGATCTGCATGCGTCTGATCTATCTGATGTTTCTTTGTGCTTTTTTCTCTGCTTTCCGCTCTTCTTGCCCTGGATGGATCCAGTTCTCGGAATGGGGATCGAATTGATTCCTTGGTTTGAAAGGATTATAGGTTTTGTGGTGGATTTAGTTTATTGCTTTGTGAAATAAGATTCCTACTATTGCACCTACGTAATGGTCGTTGTTGCTCATTATGTCCATGCTAATGCAACCTCCAGGGAGTCTATCTTGGTGTCTTTTATGAATGTTACTCCTTTCATCATATGTGGAAAGATTTGGTTCCTATGGCTTAGCCTACGAAGGGTCTACCTGATTATTGTTTCGGGTTAGAATCAGTTGATGAAAAGTCGTCTGCAGAGGGTCCTTCGATTCCTCTGTTGGCGGTTTTATAGGCTGAGTTCTTCTTGAAATCACTAACAAATGGTTAGAAGGGATCGAGACTTATCCGCCTTGATGATCTTACAACGTTTTAAAGTTAGTGACTTGGAGAAAAAAGGTGGAAAAATAGTAGACGTGAACAAAATTAGACTTGTTTTAGGAAGATGACTCCTCTTATACCAACTAGAGGGGTAGATTGGGAAGTTAGGAAAGTCCACGTGTTGTCATCTGGTTGGTGTAGGGTCGAAAAATTGAAGATTGATTTATTCTATTGTATTAAGAAAACTGGGTTCAATCACTTGGTACGAAACCCTTATAATCACTCACTCTCGCTCGATTACAGAAGAAGAGAAAATTAATTCAGCTCCTCCTTGTTTAACGTGGGCTCTTGGTGGCTAAAGGATGCTTCCCTCGATGTTTGAGTCGATATTGCTTCCTGTTGACGATCAGAACAAGATTGCTGAAGCTTCTGACGTTCGTTAGAATGCTAGAATCGAGGTTCGAATTCTAGATCTATACGCAAGAGCTCTGATATCTGATGATTGCCAAAGGTCTAAAAGTCCGAACACTTTTCTCTATAGCCATCCATACCTATTTATAGGGTTTAAGCACGTAACCGATGTGCTAAGATCACGGGTAGAGGGGCGTAACTGCCTCCTCCAAATCAGCACACGTCGTAACGTGCTCCTAAATATTAGCCCACGTGACTGACTAAGTATTCGTAGCTGTTACAGCTAGATCTCACATGGATGACGAGCCTCGTCTTTAATCGAAACGGGGTTCGTTAAGTAAGACGTGCCTCGATATACATCGAGGTTCGTCTTAAAAAGCAAACTTTATAGTAAACAAGCTTTTCTGACGAATTTTGTCTTCACTGACTTCGTCTGACGAACTCCGTCTTCACCAACGAACTTCATCTTTGATAGCTGAGTTCAACTGCGTAGCGAGCCTCATCTTCAATAATGAGCTTTAAGTCTGATGATAAGCTTCGACTCTCGTATCCAACGACGAACCTCGAACATCGTATCTAACGACGAACTCTGAACCTCGTATCTCGTGACTAGCTTCGAATCTCGTATCCCATGACTAGGTTCAAACCTCGTTTCTAATAGGGATTCTCGCTGGGCGGCGAGGTTCGTCTTTATGACGACCCTCATTATATTTTGAAGTTCGGCATTTTTTACTGCCTACAAAACCCCCTTCAAAGTTTTCAGACTTGAATTGGGCTGTATGGAGTTTGAAATACTTTGAACCCTATTTGGACACATTTAGCCTCATTGTCCGTAGTTCAATGCTTTTGTAAGGTTCGTCACGAGGTTCGACGGTTGTCTGACCCTCATCTTTTCATGTGAGTATGGTCAGATCCGTGCCCATATGACACATTTCAGCCTTATCAACAGTAATAGTTATGCACCTTTCTTAGGCCCGATAGGTGATTGCCAGCTGGTGCCTCGAGATCTCCTCCCTAGATCTTACCCGCGGATCTTCGTTGGGAAGGGGATTCATCCAACAATCTCAACCGAATATCTCGACTCTTGATTCGATTTCTCCCACTTATATATGTATGGTGTCATCATATGAAGAACCATTTCTTCTTCTGATCGCTTAAGTTGTCAAAATCCTTCATCTCCATATTTCAAGCTTTTCCTTTTTGAGAGCTTCCAATTCGAAACCAATGGCCCTTAAAACCGCTGGGAACAAAGGCAATGGCAAGGGAGTCATCGGTCCCTCAGATGATCCCGCTATTTTGTCCGCTTGCTCAGGTAATAGATTTGAACGTAAGATCCGCGTTTTAACACATATGAACCCTGTCTATTTTAGACTTGGGTTTCTTGAATGAGATGATTAGTTTCTCTCTTTCTGAGATGAAATCCCTCTGAAAGATAACGTCTTTTGAACTGATAACGTTCGTTGTCTGACATATTTTGTCTTTTTCTGACGAACTTCGTTTGTCGATTGAACTTTATATGTCCAACTGTGTTGGCTATTCTAACGAGGTTCATCCTTAATATCTATCAAATGAGTTTTCATTTGACCAACGAACTTCGTCTTCACTGACGATGTTCGTTAAATTGACAAACTTTGTCTTCACTGACGAGGTTCATTCAACATACAAAATTAGTTCAATTAACAAGGCTCGAGGTTCGTTGTTAGATAAAGTTCGTCTATTATATATATATATATATATATGGTGTCATCATATGAGAAATCCTTTCTTCTCTTTGTCGTTTGGACTATCTGAACTCCTTCTCTTCCAAAGTTTCAATCTTTCCTTTTTCGCGAGCTTTTCACTCGAAATCGATGGCCCCTAAACCCGCTGCGAACAAAGGTAAGGTCAAGAGAGTCACCATTACCTCAGATGATCCCGCTATTTCGTCCGCTTTTTTAGGTAATAGATCTGAACGCAAGATCTGCGTTTTAACATAGATGAACCTTGTCTATTTCAGACTTGGGTTTCTTGAAGGAGATGAACAGTTTCTTTCTTTCTGAGACGAAATTCATCTGAAAGACGATGTCTTTTTGACTTGATGACGTTCGCTGTCTTGACATATTTTTTCTTTATCTGACGAACTTCGTCTGTTGATAGAACTTCATATGTCCAACTGTGTTGGCTATTCTGACGAGGTTCATCCTCAATGTCTGTCAAATGAGCTTTTGTTTGACCAACAAACCTCATCTTCACTGACGACGTTCATTAAGTTGACAAGCTCGTTAAATTGACAAATTTTTTCTTCACTGACGAAGTTCATCCGGCACACCAAGTTAGTGCAACTAACAGTGCTCGAAGTTCGTTGTTAGATGAAGTTTGCCTATTAACGAAGCTTGTTATTAGGCGAGGTTCGTCTATTCGACGAAGTTCGTTGTCGGAGTGACCTTCATCTCATTGGGCCATGACTCATCCTCTAACTTTGTTTGCTCTTTGTGCAGTTGTACATTCGTTTATTCCTATTCCCCAACGTGGTGCTTTCGGAGCGGATGGTACTCAAGTGACGGAATATGATTTCCATTATTCAGCTCCAAGTGCCCGATGCGTTAGTCAGCTCGCGTGTGTCGGTCAGCTTCAAGTGCCCGACGCGTTTGTCGGTCAGATCCAAAGTGTCCAATGCGCTTGTCGGTCAGTTCTAAGTACCGTAAAGAAGCTAACGAACGCATGAAGCGAGTTAATAACGCGTGCAAGTCAACAAGATGATCAAATGCGCAAAACGACAAAAAATACAAGTCTCGAAAAATCGAAAAACACCAAAAAGTTCATCCAAGGCCAAATTTCCTGCGCCCGCGTGGGTCGGACGCATTCGACCCGCGCCCCCACGGGTCAGTCACGGCCGACCCGCGCCCCCGCGGGTCACCAGTGCCCGTCGCCCAGATTTTATCCCCAAACTCGTTTTCGACAGTTTTTAAGTGGTTTGCGCAGGATTTATCCGTTCCAGGGGTTCCAAACTGACTTGATATCATCCACAAACGTGGTTAAGCCGTTATTGACTGAAGATAAGGCAAAATCACTCATTCTTATCCAAATACCCCCCAACCGAAGCCTATAAATAAAGGCCTAGGGGCTCATTTCACAGGGAGGAGACCAAGAGAGAGAAACGTGTTAGACCTTAGAGGGGGGGGGGGGGATTAGGGTCTTATGCTAATCTAATCCGATTAAATACCAATTAAAACTAATTAATAAGTTATCCTAGCAAGTATGAACTACAACAAGATATATGAACTAGGATAAGCAATATGAACAATGAGATATATCCTAGCAAAGAGATATAGGCAATGTATGTGCAAGGATATAAGACTAACACAAGGTGATATATCCTACCAAAGAGATATACAATATGATATATGCAAGGATATGTAAACTAACACAAGGATAAACAAAATGAACTAGATAGTGGATGAAATAAATGAGCAATGCACAATTGGCGATATAAGATAAATGCAAAAGTAAAAAGATATGATCACGGAGTTCGGACCTTCCGTCCTACGTCTCCGCTCCCCACTCCCGGGGAGAAATCCACTATTACAACCGGGTTTTCTATGCTCACCCGAATAACGTTTACACCTCACAGTGTCGGTTTTCAACGCTCACCGATCAACGTCACTCCTCACACTCGGTTTTCTATAGTTTACCGAAAACTTTACAACACACTCGGTTTTCTAGCTCACCGAAAACCCTACAATCTCACAATGTAACAATACAACAAATGATTGTTCTCTAATATGGATGAGAACTCAATTAGGCTCAACTCAATGTTACTATCTCTCACAACCCCAAATATATTATGAATACAAATACAATAAGCTCAAGTGGGTGTGTGTAACAATGAGATTAATCAAATCTAAACTCAATATGAAACTAGCTTTAATAAGATGATAATCAAACAAATAAATATAAAGCTAGAAAAGAGTTTAGAAAACTTCTCAATAGGTGGAGGGAGAATAGTTGGAAGCTCAAACTTCAATAGATGATCTCCTCAAGCTCTTGTGGAATTTTCTTCACAAACAAACTCTTGAAACAAACTTAAAAACCCTTCAACAAACTTGTAAAACTCTTTTTAAAACTCTCTTAAACATCCATAAGAAACAATGAAAGTTGAGGGCTTTTTATAGCCTCTTAAACCAGCCACAAACTTCCAAAAACCGAAAATATCAAA